TTTGCTTCATTAGATTTTCCTCACGGCCTAGTTTTTGTATCACTCCTCACACGCCTCGATCTGTTCTTTTTGCGTTCTTTCGGAGCTCTGAAGATGACCAAAAAATTAAAAAAAAAATTCCGTTTCCAACATTTCTTTGGCCTATCTTTCGGACTCTATAATTTTCTTGATTCTTAACAAATTTATCCCGTTCTTTCACCAATCTCTTCACTTTGCTTTATACGTGCTTTATACTTCATCCTATGCCACCTCATTTTCTCATTTCTTCCTAAAATGGGTGGTTTTGGCATGCTCAAAGTTGTCCAAAAACTAACTTCACACATTTCAAAGAAACATCTCCAAATATATTTTTTTCTTTTTCATCATCCACCATCTTCTGCAGCTTCATAGCCCTTTGTAAAGGGTGGTTCTTGGTTTTGACGGAGCTGGGCGATGGTGGTCGTGACAGTCCAATGGTGACATAGAGCTTGCGATGATGGTGATCGTGGAGCTTGATGGTAATGGTGATGGATTCTAGTTGTGAAAATGGGTGAATGAGGTGGGTTTGGTGTTGAAAGGTCGTGGTGATGATGGTGGTCACGGTGAGAGAAAAGATATATATATATATATAGAGAGAGAGATACGAAATAATACAAATGAAATGACTGAGTGTAAAATATATAGGGGCATTTATGACTTTTTATTATTTCTGTTACGTTCGTCCAAAATTACAATTTGGAAGTCTAAGAATTTAAGTGTTACAAATGAAACTATAGGGAATTCCGTGTTTTTTGGACAAACCACAAGGGATTAAAGTGTAATTTATCCTAAATATTAATAGCTCTCTATTCAATGCAACATTTTTACAAACTGAAAAACTGACAATCAAATAATAAAAGCTAAAAGCATCATTTCCCGACTTTCCAATAATCAACTTATTTAGTACCTTTTTTTTTTTGGGAAACTTACCAATAAGTCCCATATACAAAGTTCAAGACCCATCTAATCCTTAAACAAAACACTTGCACCAACTAGCCTTACACATTTTTAATTGTTACCAAAAACTCCTATTTTTTTTTTTAATTTATAGACACTGTTATATCTTACTATCGTCGGACTTCCGTCAAACGGTCACCGGAGACTCGTCGGAATGTTCAACAACACCGGGAAGTCGCCGGAGTATTACCGGGAGTTCACCGGAGTGTTGAGAACGTTAATGGAAGTCGTCGGAATGTTCAGAACGTTCACTGGACGTTAAGAATATCACTGGAGACTCACCGGAATCTCTAGAATATTTTTAATTGTTACCAAAAACTCCTATTTTTTTTTTTTAATTTATAGACACTGTTATATCTTACTATCGTCGGACTTCCGTCAAATGGTCACCGGAGACTCGTCGGAATGTTCAACAACACCGGGAAGTCGCCGGAGTATTACCGGGAGTTCACCGGAGTGTTGAGAACGTTAATGGAAGTCGTCGGAATGTTCAGAACGTTCACTGGACGTTAAGAATATCACTGGAGACTCACCGGAATCTCTAGAATATTGCCGGAAAAAAAAAAAGAATAAATGAAGAAATTAGAGCAAAAAAAAAATAGCAAAATGTGTTAAATATTGATAAACTAAAAGAAAAAAAAATGAAACGACAAAAAACAGCAACAATGGGAAAAACATATGCTAGTTTTCAATTTTTGTAAGGTTTAAACAAATAATCTCCAATATTGATCAAACTGAAAAGTAAGTTTTGAAACTGTAAAATGTTACAGTTTCAAAGCAAAAATCTATTAAGTATTTATCTTTATTAATCAAACTGAAAAACATGTTATAAAACTGTAAAATTTTACAGTTCTAAAGAATGTTATGACGCTGCAAAATTTTAGAGTTTTATACCATGATTCATTCCAGTACCAAAAAAATTTGAAACTGCAAAATTTTACAGTTTTCACCGCCTGTAACTAAAACTCGAGAACCACTTGTTCAGAACTTGAAAATTTTCTCCATTAGAACAAAAAAAGAGAAGAGTATAATAGAGAAAATGTAGAAAAAAATAAGAGATCGAAGGAGAAAGGCGGATATAGAAAGAAGATTGTACTCCGGCAACTATTTTTTGTTTAAATCTACTCAGATCTGATGTAGATCTACATCAGATCTAAGTAGATCTACTCATCTTTTTCGTCGGAAATATATCTTCTTCGCCGTCGATGAGGGTGAAGTCACAAGTTGATTTCGATGGTTGGTGGTTACCGGTGAACCGCGATCAATGGAGAAAGACGTGATCACCGATCGTCGTCCATGACAAAGAAGATGAGAGAAAAATGCAGAAAAAAAGAGAGAGGAAAACGTAAAGAGTGAGGCAAAAAGCAGAGAGAGAGAGAGGAAAGTAGGACTTTTGAGTCTACTCAAAAAATTATTGAGTTAAATAGTGTTCACATATTTCAAATAGGACTTGTGGATAATTTTGCCTTTTTTTTTTTGGCCTCATAAGAATAAGCTTCACCAAATACTGTGGTGAAGGTTCCCTAAAATAAAATAAATAAACAAGCAGTCCAATAAACTGCACAAATTGGGCCAAGGTAATGAAAGAGAGAATAGCTCCTGTACTACCAAATCATCAGAAAATGAGTATGGATGGACACAATAATGCAAGCAAGTCTTGTTTGTTTCTATAGAAAAAGAAGAAAAAGAAAATAAGTTGCTCCTATAAAACTTCTATGAAAGGAGAAAGGATTAGAACCCTGTAAAGAAGCTGGACATTTTATTGTGTAACAATATATATGTGCCTCCCAAGTAGTTTGATGGGCATGAGGTCATTGGTTCGAGTTTTACCAAACGTTGCTAGAGAGCACAAGACTTATCCCCTTAATCCTAGGTCATCAGCTCCTTGCGTTGGGACATGGAGTCAAACTATGGTTCGCTCATCTTGAGGGAGCGAGCACATGTGGAACTTATGGCTTAAGCTATTAAGATAACAGGATGTAATGCAGAGGCACGGGTAATTTGAGAAGCTCAATTACAAAGAAAAGATGTAAATGCATCACAATATTTAAACTTCCATGAGCCGACTTTGTGAAACATGTTCAAACTTCAGAAATTACAAGGAAAAATTGTGATAAGCAACAAATTTTACAAAACATTCCGTACGATAACTCAGAAGTTTCTCAAAAATTTTCTCTCATGCAGAATATTCATTGCTCGCCAAGTGTGTAGTGGTAGGTATATGATATATGTCAGTTTAATGTTGGGCAACCTTTGATTACTAAAATGTAATCTCCCAGACAAATTATCAAACATGGAAATTTGATCATAATGCAAAGATGGCGAACCAAGATGACAAAAATACAGATATATGTGCACCAATTATGGACTCTGATTATGAATGATAGTCTTTTCCTGCCACATCCTTTTCATGAATTACACACAACAAAAAAAACGCTAATCACTATGGTTATCAACCATATTTCGGATCCAAGTGATCAACTATGAGAATTTTATTTCCAAACAAGCTAAAAGAATGTTTCAGCATGGCAACATTTCTAAAAATGAAAATATTAAAGTGTCAATATTATCTATACCAGTCTTAATCAATCACTATGATTGCTTATAAAAAATAATAAAGTAAATATAGACTAGTCACTCTTTAAGTGAAGGGGACTGGTGAATCAACCCCCAGAAAAGAAACCAAATCACTTAGCATTGCATTTACTCCCACTAACAAAACTAAACCAAACCAAGTCTTGTGTCCTAATCAAGTGGTGTTGGTAACATAAATCCTTGTTCGCCATTATGCTCCATCAAAGGTTATATACTCAATTAAATTAAATAAATTCATAACTTCTTAAAATATTCAAATTTCTATATTTGAAGTAGTCGTTAAAGATTCACGTTTGACTGGCTAAAATACCTTCTCTTTCTCATGTCACTCTCTGTCTCTTGAAATTGACACTGCCGATCCAAGCACATGGCAAGTACAATTATCTACTTCCAAAAATAAAATAAATCCATCTTAAGAGGAAATCTCTTCTTCAAAGCTTGCAAACTTACGAATTTTTTTTGGAAAATATATAATAGTGGTAGGGTCACAACAGTTTTATGCACACTCCATCACTCACCAAATTCAAAATTGACAAAAGCTACCCAAAATTGGGTGGTAACCACATGAAACTGTGATAATTAATTTTATATAGTGGCAAAAACTACCCAAAAACAATCTGATAAGGCTGGCCAGATTTGATTTGAACTTACCCGATGAACCCAAATGGATAAGAATATCTGAATAAAATGGCATTACTACATAAGGTTCATTGGCATAACTTTATCCAAAATGATGTTTAGATCATTCACACCCATTGGAGTATAATCCGCCGCAAATGACAACATCCAGAGGGTCATTTGGGAAATGGAGAGTTAAAGAAATAGGCTCCTTGGAGGAGAGCTGCATTGCTTAGGTGGCTCAGCTAACTTATTAGGAAACTACAACTTGCCTTGATCCTCATTTTTGTTATATTATTTTCACAGTAACTGCTTTATTTAAAAAGATAAATCTTTAAGTATCATCCCACCTACAGCCGTTAAGGACCCTTATCTAGCAAAGTTGTGTTAGCACAAATTTAGTTATGGCAACTGGATAGGCTCTTATCCTTGCTAAATTCTCCAGTTTGTTGATTATATAGTTCAATTTTGATAATAGTTGGAGAATGTGGAAGTTTTGCAGAGAGACTACTCTACAATGAACACGCAAAAAACACAGAAGAACTTTTAGCAGTTTTGATCAAGCTTCAGGTTACCTCGTTCTATATTTCCACCGGACAGGATAATTAAGCAGAAAAACAAGTCGTAACAATTTATTGGATAGAGAAAAAAGTTAATTCAGCAAAACCAAAATAGGAACATTAATCATTTCTGCTTGATCTTAATCCTTTTGGAAGTAACTTCCCTGTTAACAATTAGATGCCATAGCAGCTCAGTGTCGATGACATTGTAATTAGGAGTCTCACTAAGAAGTGATAAACTCTATAAAGAAATAGAATAGAACGACATAACACTTTGAAGCGGAAATTTATAATACACACAGCCTCAGCATTATCACAATCACAAAGTTATGCAGGATGAAAATTGTCTAGATGGTACGGTACAAAATCAGCAAATCAAAAAAATCAACAGCGGTCTACGTAAGAAAAAGTAAAAAGGAAAATACATTTCAATAATCGAATGAAGAGACCACCTGATGGAGTAGAATAGCAAGAATTTGAGAAGACGTGCTAAACTACTGACAAGCAATACCCGGAATAATGAGCTACGAAACTAGTTCCACAGGGTACTTGTCAATGCAATCCTCCCAGGGACCATTACGAGGCTGCTTCACATTTCGAAGTGCCTTCCAGACTGCACTATTACATTTGAAACCACTCCCAAACGCAATCTGCCAGACTCGGTGCCCTTTTCGCATCCTCCCCTTGGCCTCAATGTATGCCAGTTCATACCAAATGGAGCTCGATGAAGTGTTCCCAAATCGGTGGAGGGTCATCCGAGATGCTTCCACATGAATTGGCAGCAGCTGCAAATTCTTCTCCAGCTCATCAATCACAGCCCTTCCCCCAGCATGTATGCAGAAATGATCAAATGCAAGCGTAAAATCTGGGATATAAGGCTTGATATTTTTATTAAACAACTTCTTGACCACCAGGGTAGCAAAGAACAGAAGTTGCTCGCTAATTGGGAGCACAATAGGACCCAATGTAGTGATGTTGGTTTTAAGAGCCCCACCAGCAATTGCCATGAGGTCTTTGGATAATGAAACACCAGTCTTCCCTGCATCATCCTGCTCTTGATAAACACAACGAAAAGCCTTATCATCTGCCCCCTTGTGGGTCCTCACAACATGAACAAGCTTATACTTGGCCCGCCTCCTATCAGCATACTTATTCGACAACAAAACCGCAGAACCCCCAACTCTAAACAAACAATTGGGTATCAACATAGACTTCTTATTCCCAAAATACCAATTCTGGGTCATGTTTTCCGTACTAACAACAACAGCCAAAGTATTTCTATGAACTAGCAACATGTCCTTGGCAAGATCAATAGCAATCACCCCTGCACTACAACCCATACCCCCCAAATTGAAACTCCGGATATTACCCCTCAATTTATACTTATTTATAATCATAGCAGAAAGAGAAGGAGTCGGATTAAACAAACTACAATTCACAACAAGAACACCAATATCCTTAGGTTTAATCGAGGTATTAGCAAATAGATTATCCAAAGCACCATACATGACCATCTCGGCCTCCTCTCTCGCAGCCGCCATAGACGGTCTTGGAGGAATACAATGCATAGATTCAGGGGCATAAGTCTCTTCCCCGAGCCCCGAACGCTCCAAGATCTTGCGTTGGAACTCCAAGGAAGACTCATCGAAGTCCCCGGTGAGCCTCGAGTGCTCCAAGAACCGGGAAGACGAAGCTTTAAGGTGATCAGGAGCACGATAACAGGCATAATCAACAAGATAAACAGGTCTAGGGCGAGTCACGATATAGGCAGTGGATCCGAAAACCAAAAAAGCAGAGCAAACAATAACACTGACGAGATTGTATTGAAGGTGAAGCCATAACTGGCGAACGTCATTAGGGTTCATTTGAGAAGCTTGGACCAAAATCACAGCAATTACAGGTATGAGACATAGAGTCAATAGATGAGAGATCAAGTAGTGATAACCTAGTTTTACGTACTTGAGATTCACACTCTGGAGGAAATCGGGAAGCTTCCGGCTGTGGTGGATCTGAACGCCACCGCCACGGCCGCCGTTGAATCGACCATCGCCTCCTCCGTCCATGGCGGCGTCTCTCATCTCAACCCTAATCTGATTTGACCTAGATTTTTATTTATATATATATATATATATATATAGAAGATGAGAGAGATTTAAAAATTGAGTTTTTAATTTATTTGATTTGAAGAAATCATTGAGGGTGAGGAATCAAAGCAGAGAGAGATGATCTAATCTAAATAACTGACCGTTCCAATCATTTTTTTTTATTATTTTTTTTTATTTTTGGTTTGTAAAGTCTATAATATAATAAATATAATAAGTGGTTGTGATTCTGACGAAAAGTAAGGAAAGTGCCATTTATTGTAGTGTGAAATGTCAAGTTGTTTGTGTTGAACAGACATGTACAGGTAAAAGGTTTCTGAGAAATCCATAACCGACGTTAAATGAGCTGGCATTCAAGAATCGTGTCAAGTAGACGTAGACAAGTGTGCATTTAATGAAATCATATTATAAAATCGAATAGCGTTAGAGATATTAAGCCTCCGTTTGAAAAGTGGGTTGGCTTTTTGGCTTTTTGGTTTTTTTGGTTATTTTAGCCTGGGTTAAAAAGTTTGGTTTGGGAAGGATTTTTTGGCTTTTTGACTTTTTTGATTTTTTTTGTGAGAGAAGAGTGTAATGATTATGGGTTGGATGTGATGTTTTGTTTGTTGTGGCTAAAATAGCCTGTTTTGTCTTTTGTGGCTATTTTAGCCCCAACCCAACTTGCCAAACACCACCTAAATCATACTCCATTTGTCTCAAAATACTGATTCTTTTTGAGGAATCTAATTTTTTTTGTAGTATAATTATTATATTTGAAAAAGGTTGATTTTTCAAAATTATGCTTTTGATAGTACATTTTTTGAGAATATCAATACATAATTATACTTTTTATGTTGTTTATTAATTTAAAAGAAGGGTAAAATAGAAAATTTATATTATTTTTGTACTTAATTTTTGAAGAGGGACTAATATTTTGGGACAATGAAAAATGGAATAAGGGACTAATATTTTAAGACGGAGGGAGTATTAGAAAATGGATCCCTACGGGGTGACCCCAGGCCCAGTGAAGGGTGATTGGTCTAAATTTTTATTTTTATTTTTTTTAAATTTAATGGTCAACCACTACGTGCGAGGGTTGGTGGTGGGGGTGCTTGGAGACTAGGTCTCCAGTACAACTCTTAGAAAATTTTATGAATTTTAAATAATGTATTAAATTTTTTTATCAATTTTTTCACATAGGTATGGAACCTACACAAATTTATATGTGTGTGGGTGTGTGTGAGTCTCATCCCATGTGAGAAGTTTGATAAAAAATTTAATAGATTATTTGGGACGGTCAGGGGCAGAGCCAAAGAAGGCTCAGGGTCACATGCCCCCCTCAATTTTGAACTTTTTTTTTTTTATTTTTATGTCATGGTCATATACAAAATGTATTTTTTTTTCTTAATATGTTCTTTGGTTAAGTATTTATTGTATTGTTTTACAAGTAATTATTTGATACTTTGGGAGTACTATGTGGTATTATTTATGTAGTAGTTTAAACCAATAGTGTAGTGAGAAATTTTATGAATTAAATATAATTAACTCATTTTTTTTAGATAGTTGACAAGTTAATTAGTGTGATTTGTGATTTCTCATGCTTGAAGCATCACATATACAACGTCATATGGTATTCTAAGACTATTTAAAAATTTTCATTCAAAATACATCATTTATAAGCAATATCATCTCTTTAATATTTTATGTCAAATAAAAATTAAATAGATTTTATAGTAATTTATGCTATAAATGATGCATTTTTATTTTCTAAAAATTAGAAATTTTGATCCGTAATTTTTTGTATTAACATTACAAACTTACATCACCATCTCACACCGAGCTATTACAAACTATTATAGAATTTTGATTTATTCCTATTAATAATGATTTTTAATTTCTTATGCTTAAATTTAGCTTATAAAATTATTATTATCTTAATGTTGATCATGATTTTTTTAAATAAAAAATTGTAATTAATAAGTATTCTTTCTAACTTAATTTCCTGGCTCCGCCACTAGGGGCGGTGGTACTACATGTACCAATTAATATCCATACTGGTATACTAGTATACCAACTAGTATTATTCCATTATTACTAACCCCACTTATTATACAAATTACAAATACCTAAAATCTCTAAAATTATGCCACATCATCTATTACTATACTAGTTAGTACATTAAGGCCATGTTTGTTTGGGTGGACATGAGTTTGGGATTGGACTAATAGTCCAATAAAATTATTAATCCGATGTTTGGTTAAACAATTGAAGTACGGACTAATTATTTTAAACTTGACTATTAGTTAAGATAGGATACATAATCCAACGGATTCGTAGTCCTAGGACTATTAGTCATGGGAATTCTAATCCAGTCCGCCCAAACAAGCATAGCCTAATTAGTACATATAGCATAATTGGTATATATAACATTATTCTATTTGGGTCCCTAGCATCACTTATAAACATTAAATGTCTCACATGGAGATGAGATCTGTAATTTTGTGGACTCTACACCCATGTGAGACATTTGATTATTTGTTTGATAAAAAATTTAGAACCTATACTATTTTGGGGGATGCACCAATAAATCCCAAATTAATAACTTATACACTGTTTAGTCCTAAAAGTTTTCTTATAGACTGAAAGGTCCCATTACAATGTTTCAAACATCAGATTAATGTTTCGAACATTAGATTCCAAACATCAAACTAATGTTTCGAACATTAGATTGATGTGCAAATGGGACTAAATAGAGCATAAGAAAACTTTTAGGACTAAATAGTTTAACTTTTCAGAAACTAGGATTTATGGGTAAATTTTCCTACTATTTTTCTATAAAATAAAATTATCACATGCATCAAGAAAATCACGTGATTTTATATCTATTCAATAAAATTATATCATTTTTTATTATTGCCTTCTTTCTAATATTATGTAATTTTTTCACCTCTATTATTAAATAGACACAATATTAATGTGAAATTATCCGTTCTCTAGAGAATTTTTTTTACTAGTAGTGAAAATTTTATTAAAACATTTATTTTTATGTTTAATTAATTAAAAAATATATTATTAATGAAATCATCATTATATACCAACATGTTTTCTTCGACAAAAAATGCCTTGCCAAATGTGTTTTAAAATGAGCTAAAATAATTCTTTCTAAACTAAAATAGTTAATAAAACAAAATATTCCATTACATCACTTTTTAAATTTTTTTATACGTCTTCCATAAAAAATTAAATAATCGACTAAAATAATATATTTTCAAACAACCCATATCTGTGTTGTGCCATTTACTAGGGAATTTTTTGATGAAATATATATTTTTCTACCCTTGTAGAGGAAGGTAATGTCTAGTTCAGATTAATAAAACTATATATACGTATTTACTTTAATGGGAAATTAAATAAAAAATAAAAACTTTGATAAATTTATGTTCATAATTTTCTTGTTTTTCAGACAAAACGTAGAAAAACACAAAATGAACTACAGTAAATTTATTATAAAATTTTTTAAAAAGAAACGAGGAAGAAGAGAACTTTGAATTGCTTCTTGAAAACTTCATTGATTCATGGATTCTTCTTGAATTAACATGATAACAATGCATAATTGCACTTAAATTAAATGTCTTTTTAAATTAAGCTACTCAATCTTTAAAAGTGCTTATTATAGCTTTTCAAATGGAGTTCAGAAAATTTACTAGCAGATGCAATGAACAGCGGCATGAGTCAAATCCACCACCATGTACAACACCATAGCAGCAAATAAAAGAGTACAACCGAAATTTCTAATCTTACCGTTAATTGTTTTCCAACATCCAAATGATAAGTAGATTAAACCAAAAATATTAAGCATATGGGTTGATAGATAGGTGAAGTTACATGTTATAAAGTTTACAAATACACAAATTAAATGATTCTAAAAAACAGGGATAGAGGTATAATCAGGTAAAATTGGAAAAAGAGTTATACTAATAGAGAGCCCCCTTTATCAGTCTCTGTGTAAGAGCTTTCGGGAGTCCCATCACGCTATCGGTTGTTCCTACCTGCATATAGCAAAGCACTAATTGAAGTTAATGCCTGAAGACCATTAATAAAGTGATTCATCCGTAACTCCACGATAGCAAATAAAGTTCTTCATGAGTAGGGGGGGAAAGGACATAAAGACGGAGAAAGATTTGGAAATTATTGATGAACAGAGTTGCATTGGAAACGGATGCTAAAGGGCATTCTTGACATTTATTATTTGGGAACAAGTTGGACAATGAGAGAGCATTTTGGGCTGCGGACATATGAGCCTTTTCTTTAACCGATTCTATATCTGCTATAAAGAGCAAAATAAAATTAAAAATTAAAAAGGAAAAGGGCAAAAAGCTATTCTGAAAAAAGTTTAATCTGTTCTTTTCGAGTATAACTACTCTGCTTAGTAACGGGTCAGCTGAGCTCATAGTATATAGGCCCAAGTTTGGATTTTAGCAAGCCATACTATACTATGGGCTTGGAGGTATTTGATTGTCCATGTATTATGCACATACAATATGAATATGCCTCCTATGACTACAATTTATCAACAATGACATCAGAAATTAGAAGATTCGGCAGACATCAAGAAACCAACCACTTGTTTAACGTAGGGTAGTATCAAAGGATGTTCTATGATCAACCCTCCAGCAACATTGAGAACAAACCCCTCCTCAATCTGGACTCAGAGAAAGAAAGAAAACAAAACTTGACTTGTCAGTTGATCAAATAATACAACCACCGCCAATTATAATGAAAACATACTATACCAGGTTATCAATGACTTGATCCGGTATGTCATGGAAATAAATCTGCAAGTCATCACCACAAGTGTAGTTTCAACATATTATACATGATAATTCTTTAGGAAAAAAAAAAACACTAAGGATTCACAGTGCAAAAAGAACACCAACTAACAAACACAACACTAGAAAATAATACTTTTTTGCATAAAGAAAAGGGAATGTCATGCAAATTAAAAGATAGATATATTGGATAACAAAATATGAAATGTCTTTGACAAAGAAGTTCTTGCACATCATAAATTTCAAAGTTTTCTGGCACACCAAGCAACCAGAGGAGCTTACACATCTGATGATTATAGAAAAAATTATACTAATAACAATAATTTCCGAATATTTACACCCATGAAAAAGATGAGGGTTATTGATAGTTCTACTTTGCTTAAAGTTTATTAGGCATTTATCAAGCTTCAACAAAAGCATTTGTGCTATAATTCCACATCAAAATCACAGGTAAATAATGTATTTCTACATTCCAACACTGTCTTTCTCAAATCCCAAAGAGTCAAGAATTTTTTTTTTTTGTAACCCCAAACCTATAAGCTTGCCCCTATAAAGAATTTGTTTGCAATAAAAGATGGGTAAGGAAGGATAACTTTTTCAGCCTATACATTATTGGTTAAGTTATTAGGTTACAACAATATATGACCCTAGTACAAGATATTTTTAGCACACCAATCAGAGAACATATAATTGGTGTCATGTCACACAATCATTTCTTTTTCTTTTTTAGCTTTGGCCTGGTATATGTGTCAAATAATTTGAGTTATTAATTGGTCTAAAATCTCTTATGTAATAACAAAAATCTTCAGAACAAGTCAAAAGGCATTGAGGTCTTAAAAAATTACAAAAAAAACTTCCCTTATAAAGATATCAGAACAAGTCATAACGTAATGAGTAGAGGTAAATTGTACCTCCACTTTGTCCCATTCTCCTTTTCTGAATCCAGTCTTGAGATTCATAACAAGAACAGAGCTCACTGTCGCCGCATGCCCACCAGAATAACCTATTATGTGCAATGGTAAGATTGGCAGAACCATAAACTGTGACAGCAGAAAATTGTGGTAAAAGTATGAAGCAAACCTTTGATGAATTGGCGAGCTTCTTCCTTACTAGATGGTTTTTCCCTTATTGCACCTTCATAGACAACCACCTCCAAATCATTTGAAGTTAGGAATATGAAATAAGTAACAAAATGTAATTATATTTCTCCAAAAAAAAAAAGAAGGGGGCAAATCCCTGACAATGTTTTGAGGCATGTCCCATCTCCTTCAAAATGCAATATATCCTAGTTGCATAGATGGAACTAGGCGATCCCAATCTTGATTTGATCCACCAAATTGATTAAATAGGGTACATCAAGAGAAATGAAACAGGACATACTGTGTCAGCTGCTATTAAAAGTGTTGGTTTGACATCCATCTCTTGATTATCCATTGTTTGAAGTTTCAATACGAGGGCATCAGCCTGAGATGCAGTGCAATTTACACCCAATCAATGGACGAGACTAGAACCAAAACTATTCCATCTTAGGACAATGCATACAAAGAAAACAGCCAAACAGAATGCTAGAACTTATCAGTATAATATATTTAGATAAGAAGAGTGCACAAACTATATAGCTTAGGAAGAAAATATGACATTTATACATCTGTAGATTCTGTACACACATGATAAGACAATTTACAACCTGCTAATAGTAGCTAAAGACGCACTTATTAGGCACCATAAAAGCCCAAGGCATCAACTGTGGCTTTTGCTAGGCGGCCCTTTCAAACCCACTTAGTACCTAGTACCTAGGTCCAACCCAAACTGCATAAGGCACAAGACCCAGAATAGGCATGCCTCGGTTAAATAGGGCCCTTTTCTTTTTCTTTTCTTTTCTTTTTTTTATCAGCAACATAATGAATTTTATTGAAGAAAAAGTAAAGTACCCAGGAGGACTCGTCCTCAAAGATCAAAACATACAAGACTAAGAAAAAAACTCAAACAAAAATAGGGCCCTTTTCTTGATGTTTACTGATTGGGCTTGTTTTACTATTAACTACTGTTTTTGTTATGGACCCTATGTTACCTAGAGCGTGGATCATTCCGGTACACGGAACAGGAACGGAAACAAGGTACGCCACATGATCTAAAATGTGGTACGATACGAGTAGACTTATATTTATCACACTTAAGATACTTCTAGAGTAATTTTCTTTCAGCAATTAAGTATCAAATAAAATTTTTTCTTCTTCTTTCATGTAGCAAATCATTTCTATGAAAATTATGACCCATTTTTATTTTTTATCTTGTCAAAACTTAACTTACCTTAGATTTTAGTTCATATATATATATATATATATTTTCTCCTGAATTAACATTTAAGGAAATATATTGGAAAAAGTTTGGAGATCGCTTTGGATCACTAAATTTACCGTTTTAGAGCGAAAGTGTACCATGTTTTGGAATGTGCGTACTAATACGTAATTTGCTAGGGTATTAGCATTTTCTGGTAACATAGTATGGACCTTTGGGCCTTGTGGTGTATTGTGGTTCGAGTGGTCCTCAAAGCATTGGATTCAAGAAATTTTAAAAGTCTGTAGACACCCCATACTGAAGCTCTGGTCCTAAACCAAGCTCTCTAGTCTCCATCCATCACATAGGTCTCAACTTTTAAGTTCCCAAATAGTTTAAGTTCCAGATGTTTTGATCCAGGCTTCTGCCTGTATTTTTTTTTTGTTTCTAAACCATTATTATTGCGGGCGCGTGCTACAAAGTCCCTATGGGGGAACAACTGAAGCTCTGGTCCTAAACCAAGCTCTCTAGTCTCCATCCATCACATAGGTCTCAACTTTTAAGTTCCCAAATAGTTTAAGTTCCAGATGTTTTGATCCAGGCTTCTGCCTGTATTTTTTTTTGTTTCTAAACCATTATTATTATTTCCTCTTTTTGGAACTGTTTTCTTCCTCTGAGCAATTGCTCTTTAATCGTAGCGCCTTAGTGCACCTTGAGCATTTAACCACTAAACCATTATGCAATCACAAGAAGACAAAATGCTTTACACACATGAGACATCCATGCAAAATACAGGAAAGTCTGTAATGATGCATCTGATAAGGGGTTTCGTATAAACATATTGTTGTTGCATGATTTAACAGATATACTACCTCTTCAACAAGTGTAAATAAAGACAGAGCGACTGCATGCTAAAGTTGGATGCCCAACATATGAACCACAAAAAACAGTTTGTAATTATGACAATATTCGGATTCTAACTCAAAAGGAAAAACCAACCTTCGCCTTTGCAAGGGCCATTACCAACTCTTCCGGCTTTTCTTTCCGAATGCCTTTCTCATCGATGTCTGCAGTCTAAAATTATAAGCAAAGTTAACTTCTTGGCATCTATGAGATGAATACCAGACAATCGACTAGAATATACCACGATTGTGAAGTCGTATCCCATCTCAGCTAGTATTTTCCGACGGGCTACCGAAGATGATCCCAAGATAATCTGCACAATAAGGAAATGCTCACATAAACAAGATATGCAACAATTTTTTGCAGTTCCGATGTGAATACAATTCCCGATAACTTCCTAATCCCCTAGAATTTGTGCATATCCAGTGTTAGAAGTTAAAAACATCATGCAAATGCCAGCTGCTTTTCATAACTATTGGCATATATTTTGAATATAACATGATCCATCAAATTCCTAATCATCTCAAAAACACATCAAGCACTAAGCCCAAGACAATGAAAGAGTTAACTAACATGCCACATTATCATTACAGTAAGAACAACTTAAGGTTTAAATGAGCAACAAGAATCCATTCAACTCACACGCATATCTCCCCAAACTTAAGATTAATGATATGAAACATCAATTTTGAAACATGGGTTACGGAAAGCACGATTCACCAATGTGACAAAACCTAATAATGCACAAATCAACCAACATTGGTACAGGCAAATAGACAAAAACACAAACAGGTGATAGGTTATCTGTGAAAAAGAAGAAGATTAGTACATGAAGAAGAAAAATAAAAATAAAAACAAAAACAAATTTATAAAGACAAACCCCATCTAAGAAAAGCGACATACATTTTCTAGCCCTCCGCTTGGATTTTTATATGATTTTCTTCGTTATATCTCGGGAAACAAACGAATGATTTATTTAATTAACCCTAGTTTTTGTTTGAGACAAGTGAGTCGAAACTACGATCAATAAAGATCAAAGTGTACCTTGAATTGTGAAGCACTGGGTTCCATCTTTCTGGGAGAGCTATCTAGTGGCGATCAGTCCGATCAGAACCTTTACTACAGAATCTAAAGACCGTTCTGCTAAGCCCTAAGCTGTGTTTTAAAGTAGGGGTGAGCAGCGGATATATCGATCCGCCAAAACCGACCGAACCGAACCGATCCGCCGCATTTTGGACGGATGTGTGATGACGAGAAAACGGTTGCGGATTGATTTTCTCCAATCCGCCAATCTGGCAAACGGATGGTGGATTTGAGATTCACATTTTGGCATGATCTAGGACTGTTTTGGTTGTCTTTGGCCCTTTGGGGCTTGATTCATGTGGCCTTGGTACGAGATCCTTGGCTAGCCTTATGCTTTGAACCTCCTAGCATGTCGTGCTTGTATTATGTGCATGATTTGGCATCATTCCTCACTATATTTTTATATTTTTATATATTTATTAATTTTTTAAAATATTTTTTCATAAATTTTTTATTTTTTAGATACATCTAAGTAAGGTGCATCTAAAAAAGTAAAAAAAAATGTTAAAATTTTAAAAATATTCACTAAAAACAACAAAAAAAAAGAAAATCAAAAAATTCAGTTTTCAAAAAATTTAATCCAAAAAACTCAAACCAAACACATTAGAATTCAATTTTTTTTAGTTGTATAATTATTACACTTTAAAAAAATTGATTTTCCAAAATTACTCTTTGATAGTACATTTTTTGGAGACTATCAATGTCATAATTATACTTTTTATGTTGTTAATGAATTTAAAAGAATGACAAAATAGGAAATTTATATTATTTTTATACTTGATTTTTGAAAATGGACTAATATTTTGGAACAATAAAAAATGGAATAAGGAATTAATATTTTGATACGGAGAGAGTATTATATTGTACAAATATATATAATTTTTTTAAAAAACTAAGATTTTATAAGATGAAAGACATAATATAGTTAAGGTCTTTTAATATTTTCACAAAAAAAATTCGACTCAGAGAAAATTCGTTTGACTTAAATAAATTTCAATCCCGACACAAAGAAATTTCAATTTTTATATAGAAATTTTTTTGATTTTCTGGTATGATCAGAGCATCTCCAACGGTAGTAGGCATTTTACCTATTTAAATATTACTATAAAGTATATATTTTATTTTGCCTATCAACTGTTTTATGTTTTTATTCCAACCATGCTCTTTATTTTAGCTATTTATCCAAGTACTATTAATTTTATAGAATGCCACGTCAACAACAATGATGGAGGGAAATGATCCTAATGATTGAATACATTTTGCCTAGCGTTGAAGGCTAGCTACATGTAGCTAGTGAATATGAGTTGAGCTAAAATGCCTAATCATATACCTAGTGTATTGGAATTGAAAAAAGTGAATCACACTAGGCATTTTAACTAACAAGTATTATATGCCTAGTGCATTGGAGATGCTCTCATAGAAAAATTTAGCAAATAAAAAAAATATCTTAGATCTCTCATCCTATGCAAAGTTAAAGAGGGATATTTAACTAATTTTCTTAAACAAAAAAAAAAATGCTTTCAGAAAATATTTCAAAACATTTTATAGACTCCAGAAAATTTAAATAAAATTTTCAGAAACTCCTTAAAAATGTTATAAAAGCACCTTATAGATGTATTTCTTTAAGGTGAAGGATCCCCTATTCTAGATTTCAGACTGGAGGGCACAGTTTGGGCTCGTGAGACCCACTACGTGTCCTGTTTCGATGATTCGAACCGTTCATTTTGTCGGACATTTTGTGTATTTCGTTTACAAAAAAAACTAAGTCGATCCGATAATTATAACTTGTTAATTTTTTAATACAAAAAATAGACAACAATTGTGTTTTTAAAAATAAATAATACATTTTTTTAGTGACAAACGTAATAAATTGAATAAGTTACAATTATCGGATTGACTTAAATTTTTTTTATGGACGAAATACACAAAATACCTGACAAAATGAACAGTTCAGATTATCAAAACAAACCTGTAATGGACCTCACAAGCCTAAATAGCGCCCACCAATCCAAAATTTGGACTGGAGAGGATCCTTCACCTTTCTTTAATTTAATTGATTACGAAAATATTGTCTAAGCTATTTTAATTGATTACGAAATTATTTTAAAATTTTTGGTTAAAAAGTAAAATGTCTTATTTTATGTTTGTATGATAATTGTAAAATTTACTAGCGAAATTTGAAGCGCAAGTTATACGAGACTTTAATTATCTTTTCGTTGATGAAAATGATGAAAAGATAAAATTTACTAGTGAAGTTTGAAGTGTGAGTTATAAGAGATTCTAATTATCTTTTCGTTGATGAAAATGATGAAAGATACAATAGGAGAATTGAGATTCTAATTATCTCGTAGTACCAATTCAAATGTTCATCTTTAATTAGTTCAGTATGTCACCACCAGGGTTGGTAGCCTGGTGGAGAATGCAGTACATTTCCCAGCACTGAGTCAGGTCGATTCCTGGAACGGGTGTTTGAAATCTCTTCATGAGAACACCCTTTTTTCTTGTTCAAAAAAAATAAAAATAAAAATAGTTCAGTATGTCAGATATTGAATTATCAAAATAATAACAATAATGAAAATTCATTGTAGGGTGTAAAATGAATATCAAGTATAGAAAGAGTAAGTATGCTAGTATATATTTTTTTGAGAGACAGGCAAGATAGAGACTGTGTTCCCTTTATTCTATGAATAATTTGTTAACTAAAAATTCACCCAAATGCATGAATCTTGAAAGCAACTTGACAACTTAACAATTTGCCAAGTTATATTACAAACTATTAATTTATTTTTGTAACATCCATTACAAGAATAACCATGTGAATAACATATGACAAATTTGTCATTGTATTTTGTGACTCATCTTTGGTACTAACATGCATACAAAGAAGCATAAAGCAAGCAACTGACATTTGAGAGGAAAAAAAATAAAAAAACAAAAAACAAAGAAAACAGAGAGGGGCTTGATCATATTTCATTTTTGTAATTTCATTTGTTCATCATTTGCTATGTTTGCTAGTTCCAGTTGAATGGAAATGGACCCTTATTGCCACACATCTTGACACTTGCTTTATTGCAGCTTCAGATGCTTCAGCCTGCATATAAATGGGAAAAAATAAAATGTTAAAAATCATAATCCAACCTCTGTTGCAGCTGCAAGTACATGTATTATTGCAAAATGTCTAAAGAAGATAGTTTTTTTTTTTTAATATTATAATTGAAATCTTTTATCAAAGCTTTTGAAAGTGCATTTTTGGAGCCTCATAGGAAATTTTTGTGAGTATTTTCCTTTTGCTTATGAATGCTCATATGCATAACGCCATATCTAGCCTTTAGTCAAATATTTACATAAATTTGTGTGAGCATTTTAAAAAATTAGTGTACATTTAAAAAATTCCTTTTGTGTGATCATTTTCACCAAAAAAAAAAATTGTTACAAAGACCATAGTTAAGGAATTAGTGTACATTTATAAAATTAAATTTCAAAAATGTATATGTCGCCTTTCTTTTATCATGAAAAAAATAACAAGGTTACTTTTTAGTTTTTTTAGGCGTCAAGGGTGTTTGAGCCAACTTATGCACACCTCCACTAATTCTTTCCCCGCTCTAGTCAAAGGTGATCTATGCTGGGATTAGAGAATTCACAAAAAGTGCTTTCTCGTAACCTAATTCCAAGAATCGAACTCTTAAATAATTATGTGAAGAACACACTCACCAACTACTTGAAACAATTCTCAAGTTAACAGCGTTACTTTCTACAAAACTGATATGTATATATATATATATTCTTAACATTTTCCAGTCATTAAATGGGAAAATGTAACTATATAGTAATTATTTGAGACCTTTTTTCCACATCCATGAATTTGAATCCCTTGCTAGTAGTCCCTGAAATAGGTTTGTAATTGGGCAAAGGAAAATGAGCTTGACATCTTCAACAAGCAACTCATAGTGCCTCTTCACATCCTCAACAGTCCTCCCACCACCAACAGCCCTAGCCACATTGTCCCATCGTTCTGGTGTGTCTTGGCAATAGATTGCCAGTGCATTCTCAAACAACTTGTTTTGCTTTGCACTCCAATTTGAGCCATTCGACCCCATTTCACCACAACTTCTTGTTTTGCTTTAAAGTGTGTCATTTCCGCTCTTTTTATACTGTTGGGTAGAGAGAGAGAGAAGGGTTGGATTGGAATGTGCAGTTGGGGTGATTTTCTCGCTGAGGTGTTGTTTTCCTTGCAAAATCAGGGGAATTGTGGGGAAAAAAACATGGGTTTTCCTTCACTTTCCGGGTAAAATTCTCTTTATCTAAGAGAAGTTGTTTCCCTCTTCCAATTTTCACTTTTTATCCTAAAAAGTTCACGGGCACAAGGTGGTCCCGTTCTTTTTTTCTTTTCTCACCTGAAATTTTCATATGGTATTTGATTTGCTGGGTATAAAATCACTTGAAAGTATGATCTAGAATTCTTGATTCTAGGAAGTTATAGTGCACAATCCACATTGTCAATCTCTGGCCATAAACTAATGTCTTGCAGGTGTTTGAATATTGGTTTCTAACATAAAATGCAGTATATTATGTCATTTAGTTTTTTATCTTGTTCATGTGTCGATGAAGATTGAAGCTAGTGCATTAATTCCAACAAATAGAAGAACAAAACCATTCACAATTAGCTTATAAACTAAGAAAACGCTTTCTTTAATAATCTTGGTTTAGAATAGTTGCAATGCTACATATGAGTGCATTCCCTTAATTAGTCTCTCCTCAAAATATGCAGCGCAGATCCTCCAAAAAACAAAGTTCATTGTTAGAATGTTTTTGCGGCTCTAGAAAAGCCAATCAGAAAATTCTTATACCAAAACCAAGTATTCTCATGTGCTTTATGGTACCTTATAGACTCCAGCAATCTTAGAACCATAATTAAAAGTGTCTCATGGTTTCCTCTATTATGATTTGTGTATATTATCCTGTCTCATATTTTTTTTTACTTTGATTTTGACTCGCAATAAAAGAGAAACATGGACAGATGATTTGTGCTCAATTAAAAGAGGTTGCGCTTTTGGTTGACCACTTCTTGATATAACCTGGGCAACT